TTGCCCTGTTTTTATTAAGCAATTTTTCTATTTGTCACAGGTCACATTTCCCTGCTTCTTTACATGTTAATGATTATTTTAGTGGATGCTGGACACTGTGAATGTTATGTTGTTCAGTGACTGGATTATATTGTCTTCCTATAAAGGATGTTGAGTTTTGCTTTGGAAACCAGTCAATTTACTGCCAAGTTCACTTGACCCTGTTGGGCTTTGTTAGAGCAGATCTAGATTAACCCTCATTCTAGGTTACAGTAAACCTACTCCTAAAGTATGGCCATTCTGAAGTTTCAACTAAATGTTTACGGTATTCTAGCTGGTCAGAAAAACAATATCTCTCAACACTGTGCAAGCTCCAGAATCTCTGTTCATCTCAGAAAGCCTTGCATATGTTCTTTGTAAGACCTCATAGTCATCCTGCACATGTATAGCTTAGCATTCAGCCAAAACTCAAGGAAACCCTATGAAGATTCTCAGAGCTCCTTCTCTGTACAGAGAAACACCCTTCCCTGGGACACTTCTCTACAAATTCTAAACACATCAGCCTTCCCATACTGGGATCTCTGTTTCCTGTGCCCAACAAGATCTTTGCTTTTTAGGCTCCACTCCTTTGTTCCATGCCTTGGAAAGGCAAAAAGGCAGAAAACCTGGATGAATGCCAAGTTCACCTCCAGTGTTTCCCTTCTCTCAAGGACGGCTACTCTGCTCTGCAGGTTGCTCAACATCTGAAAACAATCACTTTGTATGTTTTGTCAATTTTATAGTTATTTGTTATAGGACAGTAAATCCCCTCCCATTACTCCCCCTAAGTCAGACTATTCCATCTTTTATGTGCCGTCCTCCAGCCTGAGATCACCTTCCCAGTCCTTTCCTCTTCAACTGCATAGCCCAACTCTACTCCTTTCTGTTCCTTGACATAAATGTGTCCTTGCTCCCCAGCTCATTTTGCTCTCTCCATGAACACCTGCAGATTTATTATCCCACTGACATTTATTATATGTGCTGGAGACAGGAATCTAGGAGAAGGTACAATGGTTTATAGTACTACAGTTTTTTAGAATAGCTTTCTCCAAAACTTGTCCTCAAATTATCTGCATCTTATTTATAATAAATATCATTTCCTGGCAAAGAAAACACATGCTATAATACTTATGAAAATTGTCATTCAAATAAGATGCAATGTATATAATAATTTCCATCTTCAGAGAGTATATAAATGTTTGATTAGATTTCATTTTTTATATACAGTATATGCATGTATTTTTAAGCTATATTACGCACTAAAATAAACTCCAACATACTTACTCAAACATGTTTTGCAACAAATTTCCAACATATTGGAGGATACCACTTAATAAGGGCTGCCAAACTAACGTGCCTTTGTTTAGTGTCAGAATACAGATCTTCTTGCCAATTCTAAGCACATACTTAACCTTCTTTTAAATGTGCAATTGATTAGTCTTTGTCCTGTTCTTTTTACGAATTGCATATGTTTGCTTCTATAAAGCTTTACAAGCATGTCACTTTTTCACTGGGATCAATCAGAAGTTTCTTCATATACTACAGCCAAAATAAAGCTAAAGAAATAAAATGGAAGCTGAGACTAACAGAAGATGGCAACTGTCATCCATAAAACCCAATGTCAGGTTGTTGAATCCATCAAAACTGTCTCAATGATCTCATTAACTGACTTACTTTAAGTACAATAAGTGCTAAAAATTTGAATTTTTCAAATCAATCATTATTAATAAAATATTGCTCTCATATATTTATAAGTTTTATATATTGTATGTCCACAGACAATACCATTTTTATTAAAGATATTTCCCTTCCAAAAATTATTTTTGAAAACCACTATTTAAGATGAGCAAAAAGCTTCAATGTTCAGGAAAACCTTAGACTGATTCTGGCTTAAATACTTTGCTTTTTCCTGGGTCTTCTTGTCTTTTTCTTGCCCCTCTGTAGTCTCCTCCCCCCATTTCTACCTCCTGTGACAGGCAGAAAGGCTACTCTTCATGCCATTTTCATAACCATTATTTCAAATAATAGCATAAGTATAACCAAATCTAACTAACATTTCCTCTATTAGTAAATATTTACTTTGTCTTCAATATTTCATTACAGTGAACACTATCCTAAAGATATTCAAGACTATAAATTATTTTTCTTTTTTTAGACTTATTTTTTTAATTAATTAATTTATTTTTGGCTGCATTGGGTCTTTGTTGCTGCACGTGGGCTTTCTTTAGTTGTGGTGAGCAGGGGCTACTCTTCGTTGCAGTGTATGGGCTTCTCATTGCGGTGGCTTCTATGGTTGTGGAAGCATGGGCACACGGGCTTCAGTAGTTGTGGCACTCAGGCTCAGTAGTTGTGACTCGCGGGCTCTAGAGCGCAGGCTCAGTAGTTGTGGTGCACAGCCTTAGCTGCTCCGCGGCGTGTGGGATCTTCCCGGACCAGGGCTCGAACCCGTGTCCCCGGCATTGGCAGGCGGATTCTTTTTTTTTTTTTTTTTTCCAGTACGCAGGCCTCTCACTGTTGTGGCCTCTCCCCTTGCGGAGCACAGGCTCCGGACGTGCAGGCTCAGCGGCCACGGCTCACGGGCCCAGCCGCTCCACGGCAATGTGGGATCCTCCCGGACCGGGGCACGAACCTGTGTCCCCTGCATCAGCAGGCGGACTCTCAACCACTGCGCCACCAGGGAAGCCCGGCAGGTGGATTCTTAACCGCTGCACCGACCAGGGAAGCCCTTTAGATTATTTTCTTATGACAGACTCAAAGTAGTGGAGTATTAGATTAAAACTACTATTTTCTATTTCTTAAAAGACTTTTAGCAAATCATTTCAGTAGACAGTGAGAACCACTTCAAACTGGAAAGCAAATACTATCCTATGTCATCTGCTCAAATTTAATTTCACAGAAAAACCTCTGCCTTTTAAGTCATAGATATTAACCTGTTAGACATTTGTTTTGCATTCCTTGCTCCAGGGAAATTCCCTTACCTCCCCACCACTCCAAAGTTGGGGTTATGTTCCTTTTGGGGGGCCCTCAGGGGCCTCTTTGCTTTAACCTTTTACAGCACTAACTGTTTCATAATTGCTCATTCATTTTTGCTTCATCCCCAGATTTTATGTACCTGCCACCAGAGGCTTTACCTTGTTCACAGATATATTCCCCAGAACCTAGAACAGTGTCTGGCACACAGCAAGGATGCTATAATTTTTGCTGAATTAATTATCTTTATTAAGGAAGTGACTACATATCCTTTTCCATGTCCTTAAAATTCACAGTTTGGGGGTTTGTTTTGATTTTGTCCTACCAAGTACAGCAATGCTTAGCATACCTCATGGCACACAGACATACAAAAAAATAAGTTTTGAATGCATCAATAAACTAGTTCATTTACTTAAAAAAAAGGACATGACATTCCAGAACAAACCAAATCTGATAGGTATACTGTTTTAGGATTTGGGGATTACAAAGAGATCTAGCAGTCAGAGTAAATATTTGCTTACTTGATGTGTCATTCACATTTCAGACCTGAACCTACCATTGTCTGTGTGACCTTAAGTAAGTCCTTTATGCTTCTTAGCTTCAGTTTCTTCATGTATAATATTACGTGGTTAGACCAGATCATCAGTATGTGTTCTTCCAGTTCATTTTAACTTTACTTTGGAAGGGAATTTATTGAGTTATAATAAGACAATGTGACACACAGAGCTCAGTAACCTTGTGTTTTTGGTTTTTAAATTTGTTTTGTTTTACTGTAATTTCTTAATTACAAAATTTCTTTGAAAAAACATAAAGTACTTGTGAAAGCCTGATAAAGTTAGATGATTGTCCACTGGTAAGAGAGTAAATCTGTATGCCTCTAATGGTCATCAGAGGAGTTATTTGGGGCCATGAATATTTCTTTGTTCGGTTGGGCAGGTTGTTACTGTGGTTGTATAATAACTGATACTAAAGCTCAGTGTAGCTCTTTCAAGACTCTGGTATCCTTTTCAGAGATACGGCACATAGTATTGTATGTTAACTAACTTTAACAAAAGAATAAAGTAGGGTAATCCCCATACCCATCTCCTTTTGAAAGGCCTATGTCTAAATACCTTTTAAGACTCCAGGAGTAAACCAAATTATCTAGGAATCTAATAGTTTTGTTCCTACATTTTAGTTCCCATTTGAAATGGCACTAGTCCCTCAGTAGACCGATAATCATATATTCACACCATTGAATATGCTAGTTTTGGGAGTGGTAAAGGAATAACTGTATTCCTCCATCTGCCCCTGATTTCTCATAAAGATAAAGCACAAATATATCACTTGGAGTGCAAGTCAGTGATCAGTGGTGCAAGAAGGAAGCCCACAGCAAAGTCAGAAGTGATGGCACAAGCTTATGTGCTATAGGAATGTTCTGGAGAGGGCACAGGGAGGAAAGGAAGACTAGACATTGTGCCTAACATAGGTTAGAGGACATCGCCCTCTGAAAGGGGAAAAGAGGGTGATCTAACAAACTACATAATTGCACATTTTTATTGTTATCATTGTATTACTACAATTATGTGCTTCTGGTTCAATGGCTTGAGGCTATATATATTTTATGAGGCTATATATATTTTATGACTAAAATATATATAGTCTGATTATCCAACAAGATATCTCTGCCTTCTTCCTTTTCTCTCCTCCTTTACCTCCTCTGTATCATCATGTTTTTTTTTTCTTTGCCTCCCTGGTACCGTCAGATTTATGAAGCTCAGTCTATTGATTCATTTATGACTTTTGGACATTTAGTATTCAGATTAACAGCCTTGTTCAGTGTGTTCTGTCTTACTTTCTTGTATGTAATTGTTTTTATAATTGTAGAAAATTTTTAAATATTTTAACTTATTTTTATTTCAAGTAGTTTGTTTAAAGTTGTAATCAGGAATTGCTATAATAAAGGGAAAATTGTTTAAACTTGCTCATGTTTCAAATATGTAATAAATCTTAAATGTTTTATTTCCTCCAAGGTAACTCTTCAGAGACATATCTAGCATCTCAAATCATCTCTAAGTCTGGACTTAGATGGCATAAAGAAGAGCCCTCTGGGGGAGGCTGATGACTTCATACTTAAAATCTATTCTCCTGGCAACGTTGGAAACTCAGATATGTTCCAGGCAAAATTTCACTCCTAAGAAGTCATAATTCCAATCTTAAATTCTCAGAATTTCTAAAGCAGAATAATTTTATACAAATCTCCTTTCTGCAGAATCTCTATTTTTGGTTTCTTCACCATACTGACTTCTTAATCAAAGCCTTTCTCCTGTCATACAAATTTGCCTAGGAAGTGCTCAGTTCTAAAGGAAACCTTTTCAGTATATATTGGTCAGGATGAGCTAGTCTATGCTACAGCAACAAATTACCCCTCAATCTCATTTTATAACACACTGAAAGTTTGTTTATAGCTTACATCAGTGTGGGTTGGTCAACTCTCTTCTAAAAGGTAGTTCAGGGACTCTCATTAGGTACTCCATTAGGAAGATATGAACCCTGTAGTTGCCATGAGGAGAGAGTTAGAATTAATTGAATAAAAGGTCAGATCTACAAGTGATATAAATCATTTCTGCCTATATTCCATAGCCGCAGCTTAACTGCAGGGGAGACTAAAAAATATAGCTCTCAAGTAAGTCCAGAAAGAGAAAATTATGTGGTATTGTCACTGCTACACACTATAATCCTTAGTCCCAAGAAGCAAACATGGAATTTCATAACCACAAACTCTATGAGACATATAATTGAATTTTTTCTAACTCTGAAAAGGTTTGGAAATTGATTTCCCAATGATTTTCCTGTAGCCTAGCAAGATAGGAAAAGCAATGTATTGATTCATACATATATACCTACCTACCCTTATTCATCCACCCATATATTCATTCAACAATATTTCTTTTATTCAAGCAAAAAACATATCTGATTTTTTCCATGTAATAGTGCATCTTAAAGATTGTTCCATATCTATATTTATATAGATAGATACATACATAGTACAGAACTATCTCAATCATTTTAATAGTTATAGCTATTCACTATACTTCCCTATTAAAAGACAGGTTGTTTCCAGAGAACACACTTAATACATCTTTGAATATATATGCAATTATGTATAGATAATTCAGATTCCTAGAGGCAAAGAGAACTGTTGGGTTCACAAGCCAAAAATTAATGTTAGTACATAGTTGTGACCATTAACTCAGCCAAGATGACTGGTATATATTTTCTAACTGGTTTTGTTCTGTCCTAATTGTTTAACTTTAATCATCTTTTTGTATATGTGTTTTATTATTATAATAAGAACCTATTATGTAGCTTAGCAGCTCATAGCAATTGTCAGGTTTAGAAGTAGAAATAAAAACAAAAGCTGTAAGGAAAAAGAGAATGATAGAGAAGGGAAAAAAATCAGTTTAAAAAGTGAAAAAGAAAGGAAGGGAAGGATGAAATAAGGGGAGGAAAAGAAAAAAATACAGATGGACGGGCAGACATTCAGAGAGGAAGGCAGGAAGGAGCCTTTGGAAAATTAAATGATGCTTTCAAATTATGTTTCCAAAGCCAGATTAACATTGAAACGAAGAGCCAAGAAAACACAAAAATAGAAAACTATGGACCACTCTCATTTGGGAAATTACCCCTAAAGTCCTAAATGAAACACTGGCAAATAAAATACAGAAATATATTAAAGTATAATATTTCATAACCTAGTGGGATTCATGCCACAATAAATCCAATATCTAGATTTTCTAAATACCTCAGTCTCCCCAATACCTAGAACAGAGCTTTGCACTTTGAGTAAATATGTACTAAGTTGATGAATAAATGTATGAATAGTGAAAATCTTTTAATATAATTCATCATATTAATAGATTCAAGGAGAAAAATTATGTGATCATCTCTAGAGATGCCAAAGAGGCACTAATAAAATTCAGCATATATTCCTGATTAAAAAAATATCGATAAAATAAGATTGAGATCCTGCCTTAATATTGTTTTAGAGAGACAGATTGAGAAGCAACTAAAAATTCGTAAGTAGCAATAACAAAATTCATCAAGGTGGTCCTGCCACATTACTGTATAAATCAATGGTTTTTAAATATACAAATAATAACTACTTGAAAATATAATAGAAGAGAATATCCAATTTATAATAGTAATAAAAAGATACGATAGTTAAGAATACCCTTAACAGATAATGTGAAAGATTTATAAAATTGAAAATTTTTAATTTTACTAAAGGACATTTTAAAATGTTTACAAATAGAAATATATATCCTGTTTTTCAATAGAAAAGCCTTCAATAATATTCTATCATTTTTAAGCCACCTAAAAAATTATATATATATATACTATATTTATATACTTATATATATCAATACTTAGTGGCAATGGTGGTAGAAAAGGGGCTTTGTGGGAGACTACAGTGTTTCTAACATGCATTGAAAAGGTAACAAGACTAACCCAAGATACTGAAAAAGAATAACAAGTAAATTATAGCTGTATCAGATATTGAAACATACTATCCAATTCCTACTGCATCATAACAACTCCAATACTTAGCAGTGTAAGACAACCATTTCATGATATTCCTGAAATCCGTGGGTCAGGAATGCAGGGCACAATGATGGTGTGTTGCTTCTAGAAACATTAGAATAACTGGGAGTGACTCAGCATTTGGGGGTTGGAATCATAACAGCTTTACTCACATGTCTGCTGCCTGGGCTAAGATAACTTGTAGATACAGCTCGGCTAGAGCACCTACACATGTTCTCTTCATGAAGCCAGGCCAGAACATTCCTAGAAAAAGCCACCTAAAACACTGGTTTGATGATTTGCCTGTGAGAGGAGCAAGTTAGTTGGCAGAGGTGGGAACAGTAGGAGAAAAGGGAGGAAATGAAGAAAGGGAGAGTCCAAAGTATGAAGGAGACTCACCATGTTTACATATTAACTTTTATTTTTTTAACTAGTTAATATATCAAAAAAAAAATTAGCCTAAGTAAAATTTTACATCTATTTATGATACACTTGATAAATTAACTGAAACTTCAAATTTCTTTATGTTCTGCTAGAATTTTTTCAGGATACAATGGTAAAAAAAATATTTTTTCAAGATTAGAAGCTCTGTTGTTTTTTTAATGGGAAAATAATTATTTGGTTTTTTGAAGGATGAATGTAAGTTCTAACGCACAGAGCAAAAAGTTGTATGCATATTATTAGGGTGAAGTCAAAGGAAGTTCGTACCATCACTTCAAAATATTCATGCTTATAACAAAATACACGCCATGCTTTTTTCTTAATTTAATAAAAATGAAAGCAGGGGCTTCCCTGGTGGCGCAGTGGTTGAGTCCGCCTGCCAATGCAAGGGACACGGGTTTGTGCCCCGGTCCGGGAAGATCCCACATGCCGCGGAGCAGCTGGGCCCGTGAGCCATGGCCGCTGAGCCTGCGCGTCCAGAGCCTGTGCTCCGCAACAGGAGAGGCCACAGCAGTGAGACGCCCGCGTAAAAAAAAAAAAAAAAAAAAAAAAAAAAAAAAATGAAAGCAGTATTTCCCTCATATTTGTTTCATGTTTGACACTACTGCTTCTTGTTTGGCCCAAGTCAGGACCTGAGCTTTGCGATAACCCCAATTACTGGCAACCTACTGACAGTAGGTATAAGTAGAATGCCCCGGGGAAGACTGCTATATGAGCCTCAGGAAGGCAGCCTGTGAGATCAAAAAAATCTAAACAGAAAATGTGTCACCACAAATTCAGCTTTGGAGTCAAACTCATAAGATCAAGAATTTCGTGCCTTGGAGTTCCCTAGTTTTCTATATGAATGGCATAGTCTTATTAAATATTAATTAAATTTATTAATATCATTCTGTACTAAGGTTCAGTCTGTATTTCAAATTTCCATAGTGATCCAAAGGAGACTATCACCGTAGTGTCAACTTGCTACAAATGATTACCTAGAAATTCTAAGTAAGCCCTGATATATTAACTATACAAGCTGGGAAATAAATTTCATAACATTGAGTTAGATATCAAAGCATGATGGAATTTCAATAATAACTTTGTTACAAGGATATCAAACCCAACCTTAGTCTGGGCATATACAATTACTTCAGCCATGAGGTCAATAAAGCCATTTCTATGAAGCTCTTCTTGAAATGAGGAAGAGAGTGAGCCCTTCAGGAATTGTCAGAATTAGGACACCTCTCATAGCAGCCTTCCTTAAGTCTTTACCATTGTTGCCTTATGGTCCAAGAGCTCTCTTCTCTATATTGTCCCTGTTGTATCTTGAGGCTGAATACAGTGCTGGCACTTAATAGGCAAAAAAACAAATATTTGTCCATTGAAACTAGTTGGAATATATTGATAAAACTTAGTTTCCTCAAGGGCAAGTCCAGTAAATCCATGATTTGCTATTACCAGAAGTTATGCTAAGCACTTTATATTTATTATTCACATATTATTCTCAAAACAACACTGAAAGGTAGTTACTATTATTTCAATTAGACAACTAAAAAAAAAAAAAAAAATGAGGCTTAAAGAGGTTGAGTAACTTGCCCAAACATATACAATGAAAGAGACAAAATTTGAATTCCTGCTCAAACCCCTAGGCTGCCTCTCAACTCAGGTCTGTACAGGACTAATTGCTATCTATAATCTCACAGCTAGCCTTCCCCACTCCAAGTACATACATTAAAGAGAACAGGTAAGGTGACAAACAAAAACTACTAGGTAAGCAAATTCATATAAAAGAACTATTTTGAATATATATCAGCCCATTTAGAAATGCTGACTTTCCCATCCTAAGAATGCCTCTGTTAATTCTCTGGCACCATTGCATTAATGATTAACTTTTGCTCTTTAATTCCTACAGCAAGAAAATAAACATGATGTCTCTACAGCACTAGCATGAATATCATTCTCTGAAATTGTGCCATAGAGGAAGAGGTTGGCAAGGGAAAATTGTCTTCCAAAGGCTTATATGCTTACTAGTCACTTCTTACTTTATGGTTGCTATCATGTCCTAAATGAGGTTATGTAAGTAAAACAAAGATAGACTTAAAAAAATTATTATTAAGTAACTCTAATATTCCATTTTGCATCATTGAAGGTCAAGGGCTAAATGGCTACCTCTGGCTTGTAAATTTATTTTACTTCTTTAAAGAAGAAAGTCACAGAAAGAGATTTCTATGTCATTTCCTGGAGAGAATGCTAATAAAGTCCAGGGAGGACCATGGTCAAAAAGATATGCTCTCAGGTCTCACTGAAAGACAACTTCCAATGGTTAGATCCATTCTTCTGCTAAGTTGTAATTTCACTTGTGTACTGTCTTCAAGTATGTGGAAGAGAGACAAGGAAAACAGAAAAATGAGAATCTAGGGGTTGGTGCTTGACAAGTTTTCTGTAATTTGATTTAGTCTGTAACACCAATTAATCTTTTGCAAAAGACCTTTTTGATGCCTTCAATTCATTTCCAGTGACAATATATTTGCACGCACAGGTCTTTTCGTGCAACATTTACTAATGTTGTGGTAATGGGGCTTTAGAAAGGAAATGCTTATTGTTTCATTGTATCTTTTTTAAAAATTTATTTATTTTTGGCTGTGTTGGGTCTTCGTTGCTGTGCACAGGCTTTCTCTAGTTGCAGTGAGTGGGTGCTACTCTTCGTTGCAGTGGCTTCTCTTGCTGCAGAGCATGGGCTCTAGGCACACAGGCTTCAGTAGTTGTGGCACATGGGCTCAGTAGTTGTGGCTTACAGGCTCTAGAGTGCAGGCTCAGTAGTTGTGGCGCACAGGCTTAGTTCTCTGCGGCATGTGGGATCTTCCCGGGCCAGGGCTCAAACCCGTGTCCCTTGCATTGACAGACAGATTCTTAACCACTGTGCCACCAGGGAAGCTCTCACTGTATCTTAATAAAGGTTAATGCATATCTCAACTTTTTCTGACTTTTAGGACTAAAAGTGAACTTAAGTAGCAGTAAAGTTAAATCATCTGCTGCCTTCAAGGGACATAAACATCAATTTTCTGGCACCTCATATTTACCAATGAAATTACATTAAACAGTGAAATAGTAGCTCTTTTAGCTTTCACTTGCTTCCTATAATGTAATGAGGAAGCACTGTATCACTTAGTGTGCTCCTTCCTTCTGCCAAATCCATCTCTGAGTTTCTGGCAGGACTAAAAGAATGTACCTGAGGTGATTACCAATATGTTAGATTATTAAAAATTAAGTACCCCAGCATTCTCTTTTACATTCATTTTCCAGGACAATTGTCCAGAATACCTGAATTAAAGGCTACTCCTTCACCGCCTTAACCTTGAATTGCTTCATTCTGAAGACAGAAGGCCTATCTCACAATCTGGGCATTTTAATGGTGATGTAAATTACTGACTCTAAAGAAATAACCAACTTTTAACAAGAGGCAGCCAACTACATCGTGGAAAAACTTAGGCTCAGTGTTAATCAGATAGGATACAACCAATATGACTCAGAATTCACTCTCTGCATCACATATATCATCAACAAAGGTGGTTTTTATCATGGTAATTGGCCTGGGCTGGGTGAACCGATTTTAGAACAGATGGACAAAAACCTTAACAAAAATAACCACAAATGGCAAAGTCACCTGAAACATAAACATCTGATATTTAACCTTTTTGTTATGCCTTAGGAAAGGAAGGAGATCCCAAGATACATATACAAAGATGTTTAGTTTCTTCTCCTATGTTCATGGCAAGAACTGATGATCAGATGATGTAGTAGAAATCATCAAACAACTTTTAGTTCCTGTTCTGACATTAATTGAGTGGCCTTGTGGGAAGTTACTTAAGCTCTCTGGCATAAGTCTATTTGGTTGTAAAATTATTATATTTTGCTATACCTTCTACATCCCCTTACAACTATAAAACTTCAAAATTCTATCAATACAATAATTTATTATGAAGCATGTAATACAGTACCTTTGTTTTGTTCACTGCTGAATTTGAGCACTTAGAATTGTGCCCAACACATAATAAATTCTCCATAACTATTTCTTGAATGAATACAGCATACTTAACTGTTTGTTGAATGAATTCATATATAAAGTATGTAACCTTTCAGTTTATTACTGGCTATATTATTATTTACATACAGAGAATATGTTGTGAAGAATTTTTCTGAAAACTCCCAAAGTACCACGAGTTAAAGTTCATGGTATAAAAAAAGAAGTTAAAAAATAAGGACAGTATTTTCTAATTTTTTCACTCCATAAAATACCCAGAGATTAATAAATGAGCAGCCACATGCAGTATAACAGATCAAGATCAATTATACTGTAAGACCAGATGCCATAAAACTCCTAGAGGAAAACATAAGCACAACGCTTTTTGACATAAATCACAGCAATATTTTTTTGTTTCTGTCTCCTAAAGCAAAGCAAATAAAAGCAAAAATAAACAAATGGGACCTGACTAAAAAAAACTTTTGCACAGCAAAGGAAACCATCAACAAAATGAAAAGACAACGTACTGAATGGGAGAAAATATATGCAAATGATATGACTGATAAAGGATTAATAATCAACATATATAAGCAGCTCATACAACTCAACATCAAAAAAAAAAAAAACCTGATTAAAAAATGGACAGAATAGACATTTTTCCAAAGAGGAAATGCAGATAGCTGACAGGTACATGAAAAGACGCTCAACATTGCTAATCATCAGGGAAATGCAAATCAAAACCACAATGAGATATCATCTCACACCTGTCAGAGTGGCTATCATCAAAAAGAACACAAATGACAAATGTTGGCAAGGATGTGGAGAAAAAGAAACCCTTGTACACCGTTGGTCGGAATGTAAGTTGGTGCAGCCACCGTGGAAAACAGTATGGAGGTTTCTCAAAAAGCTAAAAATAGAACTACCATATGACCCAGCAATTCCACTCCTGGGTATATATCCAAAACAAACAAGAACACTAATTCGAAAAGACACATGTACCCCAATGTTCATAGCAGCATTATTTACAATTGTCAAGATATGGAAGCAACCTAAGTGTCCACAGACAGATGAATGGATAAAGAAGATGTGGTAAATATATATATATACACACATATATACATACAATGGAATACTACTCAGCCATAAAAAGGGATGAAATTTTGCCACTAGCAGCAAAAATGGAGAGAATTGGAGGGCATTATGATAAGTGAAATAAGTTAGACAGAGAAAGACAAATACTGTACGATATCACTTACATATGGAATCTTAAAAATACAACAAATTAGTATATATAACAGAAACATGCAGGTTCACAGATGTAGAGAACAATCAGTGGTTACCAGTAGGGAGAGGGAAGAGGGAGAGGCATTATAGGGGCAGGAGAGTAAGAGGTAC